GAAAAACAATCCAAATGCGACCTTTGATCCATTTGGCTCAGCACCGTTGGCCTTTGAGAGAAACTTGGTCCGCTGCTCAATCACAACGAAACTACCTTTGAATAACTGTTATTCAAACAATCTCAAAACATGAACGTCCCATTCCGATTTAATGACATTAAATCATGGGTCAAGACTCTTTCATTTTCTATGTGTTGCATATTCGAATTTTACATAAATTCTTTCTTTACCTCCAATTAACCTTTATAAAAATAAAAATAAAAAAAAATAAAAAAAGCAATCTCAAAACATAACTACCCTTCGGACAACTTTAAAATACAACCGCAACACAACAATCTCAAACACACAAACTGTTGCTATACCATTTTCAAGGGAAAGAATTAGGTTTTTTTTCCTCTTTTTTTTTTTCAGCCATATCTTCTTGAAATCTTTTTGTCGATTATCTCCACCAATGAAGACTCAACTCCTTTAGAATTAATATTCAAATAATAGAAGAATATAAAGTACACCCAAAAGCATCAAAATTAAAATATATACTTTATAGAATTATTAAAGAATGATGATAGGCAAGACAACACCAATAATTTATTTGAATGTGATGACTTTGCCAACAATGAAAGTTTAAAGATGGTTGAATATGGCAAAGAAGGACCTCATTCTCATTTACTTTAATAATTAAGCAGGGATATATGTATATGTTCAAAATGATTCACAAATTGATAGTTTATATTGTGTAATTCAATACAACTTGGAATCCATAATACCTTTTTGTTTACCTAATAATGACCTCAAGGATTGTGCCCAATACTCAAAATAAATAAATAAAGGTCTCCTGCCTAACCAAATTGTATGTATTTCTATAAAAACAACTTCAAGGGTGTGATGTTAATGGTTATTAATGTATTATCCTATTGAAAATCAACATTGTGTCCCTTTGGTAACATTGCAGAAGAAAGAAGCGATCCAGAACTGATGCTGAAAACAGATCACTCTTTAGCTGAACCTTGACTCATCAGTTTAATTGATATATATATTTTTTGTATATAGAGATTAGGAATTGAATCTTAAACATGTAATTAAAAGTATAATAACTTTACTACTAAATCATTGATATTCTTAAATCACTATACCAAGTACAGACTGGCTTGCAAGAATATTAAAGTTGCATTGCTGATGCTAACGATGACATAAAAAGAAGGATTCATTTGGTTATAACTTACATAACACCCATTAAAAACATGATGTGCTAGGGAGCGGTTCCATCCATCCAAAAGTTTCATTATACTGACATCATCGGTTAAATGACCATTCGCTTTATTTATTTATTTAATAATTAATTGTCTTAAGTCAACTTGTGTGTATTTTAAGATTAATCTTTTTCAATACAGTAAAAGGTAAGTCATTCACACTAAAATTAAAAAAGTTATAAAAAATTACATAACACC